TTTTTTTCTGACATCGTAGTAGGGCTCACGTTTTAGAAAGTGATACATAAAGCTCCTGGGCTTCTTTTCGTGAAAGCGCAAATGCAGGCATCTGCTAGTTTCGGCTCCAAGTCGAACTAATATTGCAATACAACATCTCGAATCAGTTTTCATGTTAAATGGGACTCCAACAATCATAATAGGGTGTTTGAGAGCAACGGTGATCCGTTATTGATACGAAAGACAAGATGTACTGTATTGCTGCAGTTCTTGCTAGTACCCATCTTGCCTGCTCAGCCTGCAAAGACTTTAAAACCCAAGCTAGAATATAGTCTTTTGAATCCATACTAGACTATGTCTGGACCAGTTTTATGCTTTGTGTTGCTTTCCACACCATCGAGACATTGCATCTATTGTATATAATAATGTCCGCTGTATTGTCGTGGGTTAGAAGGCTACTTTGCCTTGCTAAGGTGTGGTCATGGAATTTGCCATTGGTTCTGAAAAATATTTTAAAGCTGTACTCACCTCAAATCTGTGGGGGAGGAGCCGCTCGAAAATTTGACAAGTCGAGTAAAACATGAGTTTTGTGCGATTTTTACTATAATACTTCCATCGATAGCTTCCCCTCGGCCAAATACTACTCAAAATTTCGTCGAAGGCGCCACTCTGGTCTCTCATTCCCTTCGTGACCGTGCATGAGAAGCGGATTGCATGTCCGGTGCTCAAACCCGAGCACATTAAGAGCAGGCTAAAGTGGGCAGTGCAACATGTGGAGCATGGGCACAATTGGAACTCTGTGGTGTGCTCAGATAAAAAAAAATTTAATTTTGATGAAGCTGATGGATATCAGTACTATTGGAGGGATCTAAGAAAGGAAAAGCAGATTTTTTCGGACCGACAGTCTGGTGGAGGTAGCGTGTTCGTCTGGGGTGCATTCAGTGTCAAAGGTAAGTCCGAGTTGGCCTTCCTCGAGAGAAACAAAACGCAGAAAAGTACATTGACACGTTGGGTGACTATCTATTTCCGTTTGCGCACCTTTATCACAGTCTGGAGTTGAATTTCAGCACGACAATGCGTCGATCCATACGGCCAGAGTGGCTAAATGGTTTCTAGAGGACCGGGGTGTGCGTGTGATGTGGTGGCCTGCGAAGTCGCCAGAGCTGTTTACTTAAACGGAAAGCAATATGAGACCAAGACAGAGCTTGTAAACGCCATCAAGAAGGAGTGGGCTGCCATCCCGGTGTCGACTCCAGAAAATCTGGTTCTTTCAATGAAGAAACGCATCATGGAGGCCTACCGCCTCGACGGATTCAAGACTAAATACTAACGCACCAAGAAGGACACTTTAAGCGGCTTAGTTTATCTAAACAGTGCTAATGCAAGCATAACGCAGTCGTTCGTCTATCGTTATCGCGCTTTATTCATTAAGTAAATGTCAATTAACCCTTTCGCGATAAAAGGAAGCAAAATGCTCCGTTTTCCTGGTTTTCAACTAAGTACGACGATGTATCCATATTAAAGGAGGCAAAATGCCTCCTTTTATAATTAAGTACGTTTAC